CACACACACACACACACACCCTGGCCAAAAAAAGGCCACACACATATTTGGTTGGACCACCTTTAGCTTTGATTACATCACACATTCTCTGTGGCATTGTTTGATAAGCTTCTGCAATGTCACCAGGTTTATTTCCATCTAAAGTTGCATTAACGTTTCACCAAGATCTCACACTGATGGTGGTAGAGTCTGACCTTCTCCAGAACATCCCAAAGATTCTCACTGGACTCTGTGGAGCCAATCCATGTGTGAAAATGATGTGTCATGCTCCCTGAACCACTCTTTCACAATAAGAGCCCCATGAATCCTGGCATTGCCATCTTGGAATATGGCCGTGCCATCAGGGAAGAAACAATCCATTGATGGAATTATTCAGTATATTCAGGTCAGCTGACCTCATTCTTTGAGCACAGACTGTTGCTGAACCTGGACCTGACCACCTGCAGGAGCCACACAGCACAGACCTTAGTTAAAGCATTAAAATGTCAGCACTGTGGTTCTGTGAGGAGGTCAGACCCGCCTACGTCAAGGCAATGCTCACATGTAAAACTACTGGACTGAACACACTTGGGTCAAGGTCATGATGAGTTAGAGCTGAGGCTGGACAATGTCCAATTATTGTCACCTCTCTGTGCTTTTTTGGGCAGAAAATCCTTTTTTTCATGCAAATATTAGAAATAATTGAGTCTTTGTTTGACTTAAGAGACTGTACCTACTTTTATCCTGCTGACATTTTATACTGAAATCTACACCACCAACACTGCGTCAAGAGAAACTCATCAAAATGAATTTGGTTTGAACTCAGAGATTAGATGTCTGGTAAAACTTGTTAATGTAATCAGCTTCAGGCCAACAGCAGGGTGAAATACTGATCGACCATCATGAAATATTGATGAAATGTTAAATTCTTGTTGCTAAACAGACGGAATCAGGCAGTTATATGCTAATTACAAAAAAACCTGCATTCTGTTCCATTTGCACTGCAAAATGTGTTGAAAATGAATGCTTCAGTAATCGTGTTTCCATCCAGTTGTAAAGTGAATTTTTATCTAACTTTTCAAAATTCGCAAAAAATTAAATAAATAGGCAGCACAGTGGCTCAGTTGGTAGAGCTGATGCCTCTCAGCAAGAAGGTCACCGGTTCAAATCCCGGTCCAGGGACCTTTCTGGGTAGAGTTTGCAYGTTCTCTCCGTGCATGCGTGGGTTCTCTCCGGGTACTCCGGCTTCCTCCCACAGACCAAAAACATGACTGTCTGGTTAATTGATAACTCTAAATTGTCCCTAGGTGTGAGTGAGAGAGTGAATGGT